TTCAACTAAACTTATTAACTTGGACTTCAGTCATAACACCATTGAATCAATTCCTAAAAAGACCTTTACTTCATAGATAAACCTTGTTTATTTGGATCTCAGTTATAATGGCGTCAGATGAATTCCTAACGATATCTTCAGTTCGTCCCCAAACCTTATTCACTTGGACCTCAGTCGAAATAATGTGGGATCAATTCCAAAAAATATGTTCAGTTCATCGACTAAACTTATTTACTTGAATCTCTGTCATTGAATTCAGTTCTCAGACCAGAAGGTATCTTCATTTCATCGACTGACTTCATTTATTTTGATCTCAGTCGTATGTAATATTAGATTAATTCCCGATAAGGTCTTCAATTCATCGACTAGTCTCATTTATTTCGACCCACCTTCGACCCAATCATAATCTATACTCAATTCCAAAGGACGGAATTAATTCATTAACTATTTTTATGCACTTAAGTCTCAGCTCGAAAAGAATTGAATACATTTCAGAAAGTACTTTTGATAGTCTATATATGTTATATTACATAGACTTAAATAATAAAAAAAAGAAGACATTTTTATAATTTTTGCCTTTTTTGCGCGTTCTAAACGTATCAAACAATCATATTTCTCATTTCAATGATTCAGCTTTTGCTGCATTACAAGCTTAAGGGTATTCGAAAATTGTTTAGAAAAATTTTAGAGTTTCTAATTTAAATTATCTACATAATTTACCTGTATCAGCGTCAACGAACAATAAAGTAACAAGCTTCAATGGACTTTCGATAAAAATTAAAAAGTTAGGTTTTCCAGATATGCAATTATTTATTTAAATCTTTCAGGTTAACATTTACCTGATTCAAAATCGTGCAAACTTAATTACCTCACGAACATCGAGAGACCATGAACTTATAGGCTTGATAAAACTTCTGGCGATGACACATTTTTAAATGAACGAGACGTACAAAACTGTGTGCAAAGTTGTGATAATGCAGTTTAAATGGATATTTCAACGAATTGAAAAAACTGTGATTGCAAGGTGTTTTTCCTTTTTAAATATCTGAATAAAAATAAACTTTCAGGAGTTTACTTTTTCATTAACTTGAATAATATTAAGTGTGAAAAACCACATTCTTTGGCTGGTAGTTACAATCACATCTCTGTTCGACTATGCATTTACTTTTCAAATTGAAAGAAGCTGTCCCTGTCCATGAACTTGTGGTTACCGCTGCAAAAACGACAAAGTATTCATTAACTGTACCAAGAATCGTCTTCATTATATTATGAAGGATCTACCAGCAAATGTGTCAATTCTATTTTTTAAATCGCTTAACCGGTCTTTCCCCTCTCAATGATCTATCAGATGACGACAGCTTTATTATTTCCTCAGAATGGAATATTCCACTGAAGCGTCAGTATCTATCCTTACGTGGAAATCGTTTGAAATTAGTATCTCCAGCTCTTATGGGGTTCATTAGTGTTCAACCACAATTCGAATTATATTTCTATAAAAAGAACGCAAACTGTGATTGATTTAGTGAAAACTTGAAGTAATTTATAACGAATAACCAAAAATACATTACGATGATATACCATGTGATGACGATGATAATGGAATTACAATATCGATTCCTCTGATATCTATTAGGGATTCAGTTCACTGCAAATAAAGTTTCTTTTCAGGGATAATACAAACAATATTAATCCCATGCTTTGCTAAAATATCAATAATTTTTTACTTCTGGCACAGTGATTTCATACATTCTTTCTCTCTTTATTCACATTTACTGATTTATATCCGGCGATAAAGAATTCGATGCATTTGGAGCAAACAGCAATAATGATAGTGAAATAGTTATGGAACTCTTAAACAAACTGGAGAACAAACTAGCATTTTTTCCGTCTTTATATTGCTACCAGGACAGTATTTCATAGACAATGTTACATGTTCCGCGAAAAGCAATCGACGAGCAATCATTGTTATATCAAACCACTTTATTAAAATTACATGGTATCAGATAGAACTTAATGCTGCTATATTCAAAAACGAAATTTATCCAATTATCGTCATCATTAGAAAAAAGACATCACCTTTGAACTGCATAGACGAGCAACTACGACAAGCCATTTCGAAAAGAACATATTTAATATCGGGTGTAAGGTAGTTTTGGCATTATGCTATGCCCCATAAGAACATTGATATTAGTATTTGTGTACCAAACGATGATACAGTAGACTGAATTTCAATTTTTCTGTTCCTTCATTAAGTAATCACTCGTAAGTACAAAGCAAATTTGATTTTATCAATTCATAACACCATCACTGATATATTAAATAATTGGAACATTCTACAAAGTTTTTAACCATAATTATTGCAGTTTAGAGGATAAAGGAATGGTGAATTAAAATAAAACTCTCACATTGAAATAATCCAAAATCAACTTTGCCTGTAAAATTGTTCAGAATGTCCCATTTTATTTAAAGATATTAATGAAGTTGTAAATAGCTAATAAAATCAAACACCTTCAAAAGGTTTAATAAATTACCAAAAAAAAAATTAAATAAAAAAACATATGAACTGTTTTTTTTATGTTGCAGTTTGTAATTTTTTTGCGTTAAAATTTTTTTGTATGTTAATGTGTTGTCACTGATTATTCCTATTCAGAAATATATAGGCTCTAGAATATGTCTACTGTGCAGTCATTCTCCTAAAAAGCAGGAATATCATTACTAAATCATTTTTAAAAAATTCTTGAATTGAGTTTAAGTGAGTTAACGTGACTGAGTTAGTTGGGACAACTAAGTCAAATATAAAATAAATTATGTTCATAGACGTGACCACAATTTTCCCAAACATTAGAAAAAAGAAAAAAAATTAGGAAAAAAAAATATAACGTATTACCCAAACAATCATTTATTAATTTAGAAAATATAAATGTAAAAAATGATTTACATAAATATAAATTAAAACTGTGTGCCAAAAAAAAAACAATTTCATCGTGTATAAATTTTATTCCAATTTTTGTTTCGTTTACAAATTTGATATTTAGAACAACTTGCTGCAGAAGTGGACTATACAATTGTATTTTCCGAATAAATTATAAAAGGGAAACTAAAATTTTTACATGCAAACGAAAAATGTTTTNCAATAACAATAGTGAAATAGTTATGGAACTCTCAAACGAACTGGAGAACAAACGATCTTTTTTTTTTTCGTCTTTATATTGCTACCAGGACAGTATTTCATGGGCGATGTTACGTGTTCCGCGAAAAGCAATCGACGAGCAATCATTGTTATATCAAACCACTTTATTAAAACTCCATGGTATCAGATAGAATTTAATGCTGCTATATCCAAAAACAAAAATTTATCCAATCATCGTCATCCTTAGAACAATGGCATTACCTTTGAACGGCATAGATGAGCAACTACGGCAAGCCATTTCGAAAAGAACATGTTTAATATGGGGTTTTGGCATTACGCTATGCCCATAAGAGCATTGATATTAGTAAATTGTGTACTGATGATGCAGTAGACAAAATTTCAATTTTTCTGTTCCTTCATGAAGTGATAGCTTGTAAGTGCAAAGTAAATTTGATTCTATCAACTGATAACACCATCACTGATATATTAAATAATTGGAACATTGCGGCTTAGAGGATAAAAGATAGTTGGATTAAAATAAAATTCCCACATTGAAATAATCCTAAATCCAGCTCCCCTGTAAAATTGTTTAGAGGTTCCATAGAGTGTCCCATTTTATTGAAAAATATTAATGAAGTTGTCAATAGCTAATAAAATCAAACACCTTTAAAAGGATTGACAAATTAGAAAAAAAAAATGAAAAAAACATATGAACTGTTTTTTTATGTTGAAGTTTGTAATGTCTTTGCGTTAAAAATGTTTTGTTATGTTAATGTTTTGTCTCTGATTATTCCTATTCAGAAATATACAAGCTCTAGAATATGTCTACTGTGCTGTCATTCTCCTAAAAAGCAGGAATATCATTACTAAATCATTTTTAAAGAATTGAGTAAGTTGGGAGAACTAAGTCAAATATAAAATAAATTATGTTCATAGACGTGACCACAATTTTCCCAAACATTAGAAAAAAGAAGAAAAAACTAGAAAAAAATTATAACGTATTACCCAAACAATCATTTATTGATTTAGAAAATATAAATGCAAAAAATGTTTTACATAAATATAAATTAAAACTGTGTGCCAAAAAAACAATTTCATCGTGTATAATTTTTATTCCAATTTTTGTTCGACAAACAAATTCGATATTTAGAACGACTTGCTGCAGAAGTGGACTATACAATTGCATTTTCCGAATAAATTATAAGAGGGAAACTAAAATTTTTACATGCAAGCGAAAAATGTTTTTTAAAAAAGTATTTTCCGTTTTAAGTCCTAAGGATTTGAATGTTTCAGTATTGAACAAATCATTTACTAGTGCTACATTAATGATTTGTGCCAAAAAAAAGAAGAAAAAACAATTTCGTCGCGTATAAATTTTATTTCAATTTTTGTTTCGTTTACAAATTTGATCTTTAGATAGACTTGTTGCAGGAGTAGACTATACAATTGTATTTTCAGAGTAAATTTTAAAAGGGAAACTAAAATTTTTACATGCAAACGAAAAATGTTTCTTAAAATATATTTTCTGTTCTAAGTCCTAAGGATTTGAATTTTCAATATTGAACAAATCATTTATTAAGTATTACATTAAGAATGGAAGCCAAAAAAACAATTTCATCGTGTATAAATTTTATTTCAATTTTTGTTTCGTTTACAAATTCGATCTTTAGATAAGTTTGTTGCAGAAGTAGACTATACAATTGTATTTTCAGAGTAAATTATAAAAGGGAAACTAAAATGTTTGCATGCAAACGAAAAATTTTTTTAAAAATATTTTTTCTGTTCTAAGTCCTAAGGATTTGAATGTTCCAATGTTGAACAAATCATTTACTTGTGATACATTAATAATTTGTGCTAAAAAAAAAAACAATTTCGTCGCTTATAAATTTTATTTCAATTTTTGTTTCGTTTACAAATTCGATCTTTAGAAAGACTTGCTGCAGGAGTGGACTTGAGTGGATGGTGGAACTAAAACATTGCCAAGTTTGTCTACACACCAGCATTTTCCACTCACTTTACTGCACTGGAGAGCAGAGAAATAGCCATTTTTTTCACATTTTGGCATTTCAGCATAGTGATCTGTAAAGACAATGTTTGCGATTAACAAAAAAACAATGATTGTACTACTCTATACTGTATTGATTATACGATTCAAAACTCTGATTCAAGTTACTAAAATGAAAATCTAGAACATTCCCAAGCTGAAGACTGCAATCTTAAAACCAACATGAATTGTATTAATTGTAATATTAATTGTAAAATTAATATTACTTATACAATTCAAAACTCTGATTCAAGTTACTGAAATGAAAATCTAGAACATTCCCAAGCTGAAGACTACAATCTTAAAACTAATATTAATTGACTCTTGTGTGGCACCATAATCTCGGGTATTTCTCTATCTATTGGCAACATTAGAGTTATTATTCATTATGATAGGTTTTTTCAAGCAATAATTTATGTAGTGTTAAAAAAAGTTTTACGGGAAGTATTAATTTAGAATTACTCTGTTAGATTGTCTTAATAATTTTATACGTTAAGAATTCATTTAGAATAATTTTATATTTTTATAGAAATAAAAACTTAGTTAGAAAGTAATTATTTAGATTTATTTTCTGAAATAGCTGTAGAAGTTTTAAGCATAAACCGTTGGTGCTGCATACTGTCATACCGCATACACACATACTGCATACTGTCATATATATATATATATATATATATATATATAGTACAGCACGTAATGGAGCATTTGGTATGAGTTCAACAGTGATGGAAATAATTTTAAAACTTCTGCTGCTTAATGCTGAAATGTCCTGATCTAATATTTATGGTGGTTTGAGAGATTTAATAGCTGCCGGGCAAATTTTAAATTCTTACTAAAATTCAACGCTTAATTAACTTGAAAATAACTCTTGAAAATATTTAAAATTGAAATCAAAGTAGCAGGCAACAGTTAGAAAGTACAAACATTTGCTTACTAAATGATTTAAGACTAATTAAAATTTTATAATTAGAGGAGGGGTAGCAAAATTCAAAACATTTAAATTCAGTTGTGTTGTGCATACGGTTTTGTTACTAATAAAGTTTATATATTGCATTATTTAAAGATAATTTTGAAAGGTAACCAAGCTGATCACCAAAGGCTGCCAGTTCTTTTACAATTTGTACGAGTGCTTCACCTACATCAGAAGATGTTATAAAATTTCATTCAAAATCAGGTGTCATTGTTTGACTTTTCATTTTTAAAAGCACTTGAGCACTCAGAAAAACATTGCATTTTTCCTGATGGGTAAAGCAAAAATGTTCAACCGTACGAAAATATAAACTTTCGCAAACATTACTATAAAGTTGATGGTGTGGTTAATATTTAAGACCATCATGGAACAAACAACCCAAAAAGGGCAATCTCTTCAAAAGTTGTACCTTAACATTTTTTTTATGCAAAATTATTTCCAAGTAAGCGAACGTTAAGGCATGGTCTGTATAAATGGTTAGAGATTTATAAATTTCACTTTTTGTCAACGTATAAACTTTAAACAACACTACTCAATTTTCCTAAAACGTCTCTTAGTGCTGTGGAGGATCAGTGGCGAGAGAGTTTGCCTCCTAATTAAGTAAATCAGGTTCGAACACCTGCGGTGGCTGGTTGATACGATCTCTGCTTCCGGTTCGTATCGACCACAGTGCTGACATAAAATAACCTCAGTGTCAGACGGATAGTAAGTTGGAATCTCATTGCCATCGGGCAAACCGTGGAAGGTTTGCCCATGTTTATACCCTCCATATAACGGGGATTAGTTTCATCCAAAAAGTCCTCCATGAAGGCTACTTTGTTCCACTATTTGATACATGAGTTCCCTTATCTTTTGGGTTGGGTTCGAAATCACAAGGCGACCAGTTGAACAAGTCGTGAACTCAGAATTGAATACGGTGTTCACCGTCGATTGTAAAATATGATAAAATAAAATGCTGCTTAAAGTAGAGTAAATGTGGTTTAAAGTTAATACGGTGACAAAAGGTGAAATCTATAAATCCTCACATATTTATAGTGGCCATGTGATAGCGTTTGCTTACTTGGATATAATTTTGCATAAAAAAATGTTTAAGAATAAAACAGCATTTGCCTCCCAATGAAATGACTCAGGTTCGAATACCAGCGGTGGCTGGTTGAAACGAATTCCGCTCCCGGCTCACTTCGATCAGTGTATCCTCAGTAAATCACTGTAAATTTTTGTTTAAGCCAATACTGCAGAGTGTTGAAAGCATTTTTTGCCATGAAATTAAGTATCCTTGTTAAATATCATTATTTCTTATTTATAAAAAAAAGAAAAAAAGATGTAGAAAGATTGTTCAAATAAAATGTTTACAAGTGGGAGTGCATCAAAAGTACAGAAAAAAAGCAGTAGAGCNGTGGGGACAATTGTAACAAATGCACGACTGTCAAAAATTGTTAATAACTGATATAATAACATTTAAAATAAGGTATTTATTTTTTTTTCTAGAGTGCATCAAAAGTACAGAAAAAAAAGCAGTAAAGCTATCACTAAGAGCTATCACATTTTGTTTGCTTGACTTGGGTATTGGTAGATCGGTATTGTTATACACTCACAAACGCTTGTCATAGACAAACAGTTGTGAGCGCATGCACGGTAGTATTCGTCAGAAACAATAACCATTCGACAAAAAATTTACACATTACGCTTACTTCACTAAAAATTAGACTACTAAAGATAACTCTGCACTCGAAGCATCGCTTTCAGCACAGCTTTACATTCACTTTTAATGCTCGCATGCGAACAGGTATACTAGTTATACGAGGGTTGCTATTTATATTTCTGGCCTTGGCAACAGTAGGTGTTGCTAGGCGACCGCAGACGATTTTAATCGAAAGTTTGATATTTTTAAACATAAATTCAGCAGACGATTTACCATTATAGCTTCATTTGTGTTGTTGACAGTAAATTGAAAAGTTCTTCTCTTTTCAAAAAATGGAATGGAATCGTGAGCATTTTCGTGCCATTATTTTTCATAACTTTCGACGTGGATTGTCAAGACAAGAGTGCTTCGATGAACTTAATTCTTTATTCAGCGATAAAGCGCCATCTTACAGCACTGTAAATAATTGGTATAACGAATTTAATCGTGGCCGATGCTCGATACAGGGCGAATCCCGATCAGGTCGTCCAAAATCCGTTGTTGTGCCAGAAAAGATCGATGCTGTACGCGAACTGATAAAACAAGATCGTCATGTGACATACCGTGAGATAGAGGCGTCTTTGGACATTAGTATGACTAGCATCAATAAAATATTGCATGAACATTTGAGCGTAAAAAAAATTTGTTCGCGCTGGATCCCGCATAATCTGACAAACGCTCAAAAAAAGTCTCGTGTCGATTGGTGCAAAGAAATGTTGGAAAAATACGTTCAAGGTATCAAAGGCTATAACATCTACACAGGTGACGAATCATGGATCTATGCATATGAGCCGGAAACAAAACAGCAATCAACTGTATGGGTCTTCCAAGACGAGGCAAAACCAACAAAAGTTGTTCGAGGAAGAAGCACATCGAAACAAATGATTGCCTGTTTCTTCGGCATTAACGGTCATGTGGCAACAGTGGCGTTAGAGCAACGCAGGACGGTCAATTCTGAATGGTACACGACCATTTGTTTGCCAGAAGTCATCGGAGAAATTCGAAAAAAGCAGAAGAACAGGCGAATCATTCTTCATCATGACAATGCGAGCTCTCACACATCGACTCAAACAAAGGCATTTCTGACGGAGCGAAAGATCGAACTGATGGGTCATCCGCCGTACAGCCCTGATTTGGCACCCAATGACTTCTTCTTATTCCCACACATCAAAAATAAATTACGTGGACAACGATTTTCGACCCCCGAAGAAGCGGTTGATGCATTCAAAACGCATGTTTTGGAGTTACCTCAATCGGACTGGAAAAAGTGCTTTGAAAATTGGTTCAAACGCATGCAAAAGTGTATTGATCATCATGGAGAATATTTTGAAAAACAATAAAACCAATTTCGATCCTACATATTTGTTTTTTCATTATTAGGCCAGAAATATAAATAGCAACCCTCGTACACAATCTGCAATACACTTTTTTCACCTCAATTTACATACTAGAAGGATGGCACTATCGATAATGTATTTTTGATGCTATCACCCGTGTCCACTTTTTATTTGGGCAGTCTTATATTTTGTTATAAAATAACATTGAATTAAAGGCACATACCGTGCTCATATACTTGATATTGCCTGTTAAAGCAAACGCATGTCTTTACATTCATTCCGAATCCAGGGAGAGTTAATGGTGAACCGTCTGGTGCGACGCACATGCAAGTGTCTTCAACTCCTGGACTGTCGTAGCACTGGAGATCTTTAAATGTTCCATCGTTTTCACATCTGGGTAACATCCAACGCACATCTGGGTCATTTTCTCGATCCCTCATACTGATCATCCTTTCTCGAGCTGTTGGACAGTCCACTCCAGCTGGAAGAAGGAAACGAAACTTGTATAAAATGTTTCGTAATCGCCAACCCTGGATATTTATTTTTTTAAACCCTTGCAAATATTAACTTACGGTAGCCTGGAAATTCCCATGAGAATGCCGTTGCCGCGACGCAGACGAAAACCTATGAAATTAAAATGACATATTTATACAAATTCTATTTAATAAACAGTAAGTAATGTAAATTTTTTGCATATATGAGATGAAATAAGTTCGGATTGTTGCAGTAACCCTCATTGCACTTTACAGTGATTATATTTGATTTTTTAAACTCTGAATTTTTTACCAAACCAATTAAGGGTTTACAGCTACCAATGTTCAACTCCGTAGCCTTGTAATTTTGAACTAAATCCAGAAGACCTGGATCAAATATTAGAAGAAATTTTTCCTTCGTGATGAACTTTTTGGTGGAACTAATCCGTATTTGCGTTACATGGAGAGCAAAATTACAAAAACCTCTCACGGTTAGCCTAACGGCAAAGCTACTCTAACGCATGATCTGGCTACCACTGAGGATATTTTACATCAGCATTGTGGTCGGTGTAAGCCGGGTGCGGAATTCGTATTAACCAGCCATCGCTGAGATTCAAATCCGGTTCACCTAATTAGAAGGCGAGCGTTTTATCCCCTGAGCCACCACGTCTCACGCATATTAGTTTGCAGATTAATGAAGCTCCAAAAACACAAAAATCATTAAAGAGAATAAAATGTTATCTAAATATACTGAAGTATTATCAAGATCAATCTCAGTGAAAATTTTATTGAACCTTCAACTTTCAGTTTACAAATTGTAGAAAATTGTTTATTTCTCACAAATATTCTTTTTTATTACTATTATTCTAGTTTTACTACGATTAATTTAAATAATGATACGGTGAATTTTGATAATGATTTTCATCATTACTATTTTCAGAATAATTTCTTATTTGATTAAAGAGGCTAAAATAAACCTACCTCTGTATTTGACGTGCTTTGTGATGTGGAAGAAATTTCCTTTAAGAGGCCAAGTAATTAAGTTTCTTTCATTTATTATTATTATTTTTTTTAATTTTTCAAAAATAGTATCGAATTGCTGTTTTTTATTTGTTCACCGTTTACTACGTAGTTTGTAAAAGGATGAAAACATAGTGTTAACGTTAATTCGAATTGTTTAGAAACTCTTTTGATATTAGTAACAATGATCTAGTTTGTTTATTGTAAAAAGTCGAGTGATTTATTTTGTGTGTACTAAGTTTTTGTGTACTAAAGAATGGAAAAAACAATGTTTAAATTGTTTAAATAAATGAAAAATATATAAAAATGCTAAAGAAAATTCCAAAGTGAACCAGTATTTTGCCACGTTTTGCAGGAAAAAAAATGATATTTTGTAATCACCATCTTTAAAATATAACTTAATCATTTTAAATAAAGTAAAAAGAATTCATATTAAGGGTCGTAGATTAATATTTAAACTATAAAAATATAAAAACGTTTCCAAAATTGTACGAATCATGATTAAGGAAGGTGAAATTAAAACCTTTAAATCCCAGTTTAATTGCAAGATGAAACTTGAAGGGTCACGTATTAAGCGTTTTTCACCACCTTTCCTTTTCTTTCTGCTTTCTTGATTTCAGCTTCGACTTCCTTACAGATTTTTTAAGGCTTTGATAGCATTTTTTTGTTTTTGTTTCTTCCAGCTGAAATATTGATGTACCATGCGAAAAACCCTAAATAACTTTTGATCTAATGATCAGAACTTCACATTCTAGAACTCAATCTTAATGTTTCGTGGGGATAACTTCACATTTGCTAATTAATTAGAGCAAATTATATTTTAAGTTATGAAACCAGACACGAAAACATACTTTCTCAGAATAAACATACTCTTTTTAGGCGGATTCGGATTTTTGTTGCCTGAAATATAAAAGTAGCTGCGATTTGGGAAATTTGGTCCCCATAGTTTTCGTCAAGAGAGAAATCCAAAATTCGGACCCCTAATTTTACTTTTTGCGAATTTCGTTATATCTCGAAAAATTTATAAGCAAATCGAAAAATTTTTACACACAATTATACAATTTCTTTATACAAAGTTAACTTCATACAAAAGATAGCATGGAGTGAATATTAATAATTTTTTATTATTTTATTTACTAACAGCCTAAAATATTGTGAATTGTAAGGTAGACAATTAAGTCATTTTAAAGGCAAAATTTGAGACAAATCGGTCGAATAGTTCCTGAGAACTCTACTTTTAAATATTCTACTATTTTAAAATTTTATTCGCTCAGGAACAATTCGTCAAATTCTGTTTCACAAAGAAAAATCCATTCGTTATAAATCATTAAGATCAAAAAGATGGTCAAGTTTTTTTTTTTCTTCTTTCTTTTTTTTTTCTTTTTGCGCACTGAGCAATTTGTAATGTATATGTTTCTTTTCTTTTTAAATAACGAACATTAAATGCTTGTTTCTTTTAATACACTCTTTCAAAATATGTATTATAGGGGGGAAATACAGAATACTCTATATATCAATGATTAAAATGACATTAGAGTAAAAAAAACTATTGATAAAACTTCATACATACAAAAATACCTAGAAAGTTCATTCTGCAGATAAATTATCGAAGATTTCAGTGCTCCTAGAAAAAAAAGAGGGGATATGTCAGTTAATAAAATATTTTAATATATAATATAAAAAAATTATGCATTTTAAATTTTTATAAAATAAAATATAAATTAAACTTGTGAAACTGGCATCTATCTAATGATCATTCATATTTATATATATGTTCCATGACGACTTTCCTTAAAATACATTTTTAGATTTCTTGGAAAAAATTAAATATTAAAAATATTAAACAGCTAAAAAGTATTAATTGCAATGGAATAATAAGTTTGTAGTGTTAAAAAAATATTTCCATTATCCTTTTAATATTTGTTTCTATTCTATGCGATGACTGGTTAATACTAGTCTTGACAATTAAGTCAAAAAATTATAACCCTAGATGAAAATAGCTTTTGGAAATATAAAATTGAGTATAATTCACAAAACAAATGAAAAGCAGATCACTTAAATAAATTTTGAATCGATGCAATCCGATTTGATCATCATGCAATCTTAATCGATATAGCGGTCATTTAATCTATAGCAAACTTGCCACGACAGGACACTCTCATTACTCTTGACCGAAGGTGCTTTCTTTCATAGAGAAGCACTTTTATTTTCTAAAAGAAAGCGATAAACTGAATCAACTAATGGATTGGAGGGATAACTTTAAATATTAATTAGAGCAGGAAACATTTTAGTCTCTGACGTCAGACACAAGTTATTATGATTGTTATTAATATCATCATCATTACTATTATTTTTGATTTCAATAATGATTGAAGATTCTTTAAATTTAACGATTCACAGTTTTCACATAACAGATTTAAATGACAGTTGCGGGGAGAGTTGTTTTCCACAATGTCAATCTCCCATCACAGAATCGAGTTAACATGTCTTAAATACTAGTTCTGTTCTGCTTAGTCTAGCTGGGCTCCTGAGGCCAGTAATGATCCTTTTCCCATACATCCTGTTATGAGAACTTAAGCAAAAACAATAGACAGATTACATGAAATGCAACAATTAAATGGCACATGTTAAGGTAGAGAAAAAAAGAATGGCACTTTGCCATGGTAATAAGAAGCAAATAATTGAATGTATAGAAAAATACAATACATATTTACAAGTAGAGAAACAATATTTACAAGAAAAATAACTATTTACAAAGTGTGAGAAGAGTTAGCAAAATTCAAGATGAGAAACGACAAGATCATAAAAAAATTCATTAACAAAAAAGTGTACCGCTGTTAAAGTAAAGACCCGACCATCCTGGTTATTACCACTAGCGCCGGGTTGCTCTCTCCACTAAAAATTACTCGGATTTATTGGAATTGCAATTTTATAGTGGTAAACAAACTTCAACAATTTTGAGTAGAATCAGTCGAAAGTTTCTGAGTCATAGTTTTTCTTTTTTTTTTTCCAATGCCCACCTGTGTTAACATCCGTCAATTCAGGTATATACAGGGCGATTTTGTTGGCCTCTCTTTCAGGGGTACCATATTAGGTGGGCCAACGTCGCTCTCTCAGTGAGGGCAGACAGTACAGAGAAGGAAAGAACGTCCATGACTTGCCCGGGATTCGAACCCAGAACCTTTCTGATGCAAGGACAGTTCCCTGCCCCCAACACAGGCCGGTCGGCGTTTCTGAGTAATAGAGTTTTATATAAACTTATTTTAAATTTTCATTTCTCACGTACTATCAGTTAGAGGCAGCCCAAGGTTTAAATACCATCATTTAAAACTTCATAGTTTTTAATAATGCAAAAACATGCATTATTTATAATTCAAACTCTTTTCATTCGTTATTAAAGTAGATAGTACATATTATAAATAATCTAAAAATAATTATAATTTGCTGTTGTTGTTGTTGTTCATTTACGTCGCACTAGAGCTGCGCAATAAATTATATTTTGGAACAATTTTTTTTGAATGGACGAGTTTTATTTGTTGCAAAGAATGACACTTACATTGTAGGAAACTAAGTTTCCATTGAATAAACAATGAAGACCATAATGTTCAAATTGCTGCTACCGTCACAGTCCATATTTTGAAGGTTAAGCCATTAACGCAGGTGGGACAGCGGTGTCCCTTTAATACGTTTTTTTTTTCTGATGCTCTAACTCCAAGCAAAAATATATTTTGGTATTTTTTTAATTATAGAAAATAGTTTAAAAGTTACTAAACAAAATTTTCAGATATTATGTTTGTAAGAAATATATTTGTACTAAAATATGAAATGTACTAAAATAAAATGTAATTTGAAAATCTTTTTTCATTCATATTCAAAAATTTATCAATAATTGATTGTGAAAATTAAAGAAATTTTAATGAGGAATTACTGTTTCTTTTAGATCGAAATTACTGTGAACAACTGCTAATTTGAAAATTTATTGTTTGGAAGTGAGTTGCGTTTGGAAAATGTTACCATTAACGCAGAAAAAAACACCGGTGTTTCATACTGTATACTATAACCATAAATTATTATAATTCGAAATGTAATATTTTTCACTTATTTTGACTCAAAGCAATACAAAATAATGAAAAAGTATGAAAAATATGTTTAGTTAAAAGTCTGCTTCAACTGGTTCAATTGTAGAAAGGTATGTTTATTTAGAGAGAGAACGTTTCTTGTGTCTGATTTCGCAATTTGAAATATCGTTTGCTCAATTAATTATAACATTTAAAAGATTTATTTTAGAACCATTGAGGTTGAATCCTAATACGCATTAATCCAATCATTAAATCGTAGATTATTAAGGCTTTCCTTTTTTCTTTTTTTTTTTCTTTTACTTTCACGACACTTTTCAAATTATCTGACATCGTGAGATTTCGCCAGATTGCTGTCAACACATGTTCTTCACATTTAAAATCATGTATACTTTGATAAAAATATGGAGAGGAAAAAATTCAAGCATAAAGAATTTATATCAGTTTCTTATGTTTTAGGTCTCACTGTATCATGTTATCTCGCTGACATGTTTTTGGGAATTGTCGGTAAAAGCCGTTTAGTTCATCAATCTTCATCATTCGCAAATTAACGAAAAAAAATTTCATTTTGATACAAAAGAGCAATTTTAAAACAACCTCACCCCTTTGACACACAATTTTAATCAAATATATTTTTTTTCATTAATTTAGGTCAAAATATGTAAAAAAAAAAATTTTTATTTAACATTTAAATAATTTACAGTTATGAAATACAGCAAGAAACACGGGTGTCTTTGTTCGCGTTAAAGGTAAATTCCTCCAAACGCGTCTGAATACCAAACAATAATTTTCAAATTTGCATTTATTTGTAGTTATTTAAATCTAAGGCAAACAATTATTCCTCAGCAAAATTTCTTTAATTTACACAATCAATTATTAAAAAGATTTTGAATATGAACGGGGAAAAAAATTTCAAACTACATTTTTGGATTTTATATTTTTATACAAATGTAATTCCAATAATCTAACAGATTTTTTAGTAAGAATTATATTGTTTTTTTACAATTAAAAAATACCAAAATATATTTTTGCTTGTAATTAGAGCGTCAGAAAAAAATATATAAAAGGGACACCGGTGACCCATCTGCGTTAAAGGGTTAACCTTATTCCAAGTAACGCCTTTCTTAAATCAGACATCATTAACTTACTTTTTCGCCAACAGCAGACATGTCTCGCAACATATGGCAGCTGAATAAATTTAAACATCCGTTTCTTAAAGTAAAGCGCGAAATATGATTAAATATTTTAATTTTTTGCTGAGAAACTTCTTGCGAGGATAACGTGGTAATTTGTCTGTAACGGAACTGTGCAAAGATTCTGGCATAATCTTTGCAATAAAAAAAATTTGAAGTATTACAGAATAGTCTACAATATACTTCGACGGAATAGTATGGATATTTTTGCTGCACGATGGGTATTATCTAAAGAACTCTAGCCGGAAGTTTGGAGTTGTCTGTTGTTGTAAAAGCAAAAAATAAATAAATTAATTAATTAATTAAAAAAAGCAATAATAGTCTGAAAATAATTTATTGGAATCTGGTGAGATGTATTTATACTGATAGCATTAATTGAATAAAGTTAGATTTAAATTTAATCCGATTAAATCTCTTCCTGTTTAGATATTAGATATGGATTTATTTAAAATTCCTTTTTAAGTATCATATCTTACTATTCAAATTAAATTTAAATGATATACATTTCTTGTACTTAATTTTAATCTATCTTAAATTTCCGATTTCAAAATTTGCTATTTATATATATAAATGCTAGGTAAAGTCTTATTTTTGCTAATTTAGTCTCCATATACATTGGGCTGCAGATAAATTTTGATAAATAAACATAATGCTGCAGGTTGACTTAGTAAATTCTGATACAAGGACCTTGTCCAAAACAGCGTTTGAAATACAAATAATTGTTGTGTTTGAAGTAATACAATGATAAGCTTCCTAAATGGTTGAAGCGCTTTTGTATGATTTCCATGAACTCTATAAGATTTTTCTGTGTATTGTTCTCTTATCTACTTGAAATTGTAAAAGTTTATTAATAACCTATCTCCAAACATTACAAAGGTAAAGCTAAATGTATATATAATTTCAGGATGATTGTTCCGGTACTATGAAAAGTACCAGTATGAATCCCATGACACGAAAAAGACTTATTCTGTAATTCTAAGATTCAGTAACAAACAATGAATAAATGAAACGCAAAGCCCTAACATTTATTTACTGCCTGATTAACTTTTCAGCACGTTCTTGCTAATACAAAGTGTCCAATGTATTATTACAAATTAATGTGTAAATATTGTAAAAATAATTTACTAATTTAAGTTTAAATATTGTAGAAAAACTTACGATAATGAAGTAAACTAAATAAATTAATATTAAATAATTAATAAAGTAAATAAATTAATAATGGAAAAATATTTCGCTGATATTAAAATTATATAAAAAATGAGCATTTAAAACTACACAACTTTACTCTATATCGTGTGCTCTTTTTTCTAATTGAAATACTAATTTTTTCCCCATTTTAGTTACTATGAAATTTAGGTACTATGAATTTTAAAAGTTTTCCTATAAATATTTCTGCTATTTTAAACGTTAAATATTTTAATTATTTCTCAATATAATGAATGAAGCTTAATCACTTTCATGGTAAAAATCCTATTAATTTTTAAGTAATAAAAAGAAAATAAGTTAACTACAAGGGTTGTTTTTTAAGTAGGGCCCGTTTTAAAATAAAAACCAAACGGAAGGAAATTTTTAAGAAGCAAATTTATTTTCAGATTTCAGATACGTTTCTCTTTTTTTCAGCTTACAAGGGAAACTAGGGAAGTGTGACTCGCCAATTTTGAAATAAACTAGTGGGATGTATGCCTTATGAGGAATAATTTTAGGGGGTAACATTCGTTTCGGCCCATAGAAGGACCTGTGAGAGATAAAAAATAATTCAATTTGCAGAAAAATCGATATTTTATTACTTCAATGCAGACTATTAGTTATTGTAATTGTCTCATACTTCAATTAATTTGTAATTAATTGGTTAATTAATTAATTTGCCAATTAATAAATTAATTAGAAAATTAATTAATTAATTAATTAATTTGACAATTAATAAAATAATTAGAAAATTAATTAATTAATTATTAATTGATTTGCAATTACATACATAATAACACATACATAAAAAAAATTTAATTTTTTTCTTTTTTTTTTAAAAATTCGATGTACATTTTTTTTAAAAATTAACCTAACAGGTTTTACTGAAAAACTACAGATATATAAAATTTTCGAAATCAATTTTGACAGTAAGTATGCATTATATAGTACGTGAAAATACCACAAAATTAATTGGAGTATGAGATAATTACAATAACTAATAGTCCGCATTGAAGTAATAAAATACTGATTTTTCTATATATTGAATTATTTTTTATCTCTTACAGGACCTTCTATGGGCCGAAACGAATGTTGCCCCCTAAAATTATTCCTCATAAGGCATACATCCCACTAGTTTATTTCAAAATTGGCGAATCACACTTCCCTAGTTTCCCTTGTTAGCTGCCAATTTTGATTGAAAACTTATAATGCCTTACAACTAGATTTAGAATACCCTCTTCATGCAAACTTGCCGCCTGCTCCGCTAACCAAGAGGCCATGACCGTTTTCACGTATTCGTCATCGTTGTATTGATTGCCGTCAAAGTGAAGTCTGAAACATAGGGAAAGCTGAAAATCACTCAGCTCAAGGTCTGGGCTGTAGGGAGGGGTGATCCAAAACTTCCCAACCTAAAGCAGGGATCCGAACTGCATAAACAGAGATTGTCATAGAGTAGCAAAATTCCATGTCAGCATGGTAGGGAATTTTACTATTTCAGAAATCGTAACTTCAGAAATCTACCAGTGAATGCATGCAGCAGACAGGTTTTTTTGCCGACAAAAAACACATCACTGTCCATATCTCATGTGGGGAGGAATATTTGTTAAATTTGAACATTTTAAGGACAGAACTGACAGTACAGTTTACCTACACAAGCTACAACTGAGCACAGTTGTTCCCTAGGAATGCCTGGACACAAAACACGCTCTCGTTGCGACGCACGCGTCACCTATTAGTGTACTCAAAAAAACGACCCTTACTTAAAAAAACAACCCTAGTATGAGTGGAAGAACTCCTTTTAAAGTTCCTCTTCGGACAGAGAAAAGATTCTACCTCCTCCAATAATTTAAACAAAATGAATTATATGAGCACAATCTTCTTACTTAGTAAAATAACAAATTTTTGTTAAGCTATCATTTTTGCTTCACTTCATCTATTGAAATATGTTCCATTGAATCCAAATTCAAATTCATTTTAAATTCGAGGATTGCAAGCACTTTTAAAACTTTTTGCAAAATTCGAAGTATTAAAATCATTGAAATTTTAAATTTGATAGTTAAGTTTAGTAGAACTCATTTCAATGAATAGAACGAAACAAAAAATATTCAAAAATAATAATTACGTAGTACTTAAACTAAAAATAAAAAAAAAAGAATTCATGTAGTTCCTTGCTGAGGAGTTGGTCTATTTAAATAGACATCTAAAGTTTATGGTCGGTACAAAACATTGGTCACTTGCAAAACAGAAATATTATTCCTTCTTTTTCAGATTTTAAGAGCAATAAATTTATTAAAATTAGCTTTAATAAGTATTTCACTGGAAAAAAAATTAAATGCTAAAATGTTTTTCACTAAGAAGATTAATAACTTTCAAATAGCGCATTGAAAGGAAAATTTTAAAAAATTAAAATTTGAACAATATTTTAAGATACCTACTTTAGCACAATCACAGTTAAGTGCCGAAACGTCAACAAATTTTGAAATCAAAACCCTTAAGTGACAAATGTTTCGATTCCGACATTTTTATCTCGGATGCAAGAGTACAAATTTCCAATTCTTATCTCGTTTTTTCGGAAAAAAACATATGTAGTTTTCTCATTTGAAAAGTTATCGAATTTGCTTCTGATTAAGGCTGCAGTTTCTTTATATTAAAGTATAAGTTATTTTTTAACGAAGATACGTTTACGCTATCTTTAGCAATTTAAGCAAATATGCTTACGTGCTCAATTCCTTTAGTAACGTACGTTTACTTGCTTGTAAGAAATTAACCAAAAATTAAATTACACAAATCTTACGCTATTTTTAAATTATTTATATGCAGCTATTTACATTAGAGGAAATGTCTAAGTATGGCGCATCACGAAATTTCTTTGCTTTAGTCAAACTTTTAAAATTTTCGAAAATATTTTTTTCAAAAATTATGATTTGAGTAACAATTCAGTGGAAAATAAAAACCGCGTATGAGGCATTAACTGCATAAATTGATTACACTGGGGGAAAAAATTATTTTGCATGATATTTTTAACAGATTGTGTGTACTTTCATATCGCTTATTTTAAATCTGCTACCGGCTTCTCTCTCCAAACAGCAGTTTGCTCGAGTTTCTTACTACTTTTAACACACATTTATGTGTACACTTTAAATATATGTGTATGTATAAAAAGTTCTACATTTAACACGTGTTTATGTGCACGTTACATTGTTATTCAGGAGCATATTTGAAAATGCAAAGTATATTTTCAGGGGAAATGTCTTACACTGAATTAAATGAGGCAAATCTCGAGACGATAGGATTAAGAAGGACGATATGTTCAGAAGTTATACAAGCATTTTATGTACAAAAAATACAATGAGTGCTTGGTACAGGTACAATTGAATACAGGTTGTGAGTTATAGTTTTATTCCTATTTGTTCTCGTTCACGAATCAAAAAATCTAATACTTTCAAAGTTGGATTTTTTTTGCATAAAAAGTATTACTTTCGTATTGTTCTTGTTATAAAGAAATTACAAATGAAAACAGGCCTCACTTGTCTGTCTAGAAGAAATTCTTTTCTCGCCTCAAATCCCCCCCCCCGGATCCACCACACAAAAAAAAAATGTTAAGCGTATAGAGGAGAGGAGAGAAGAGGAATTTTCAGAAGCAATTTATAATAACATAACGCAACTTCTTGTCAAAAACTATTTTGGATATTAATGTTCCGAAAAAGCACTTTTTTTTCTATTATTACTGCATTGTATCTTTCTTAAAAATTCTATGATTCGCCTTAAAAATTCTTAAGATCTGCTGAAATACGCAAAAGGTAATAGTTACAGTGAGAGATTCAAACTTTCAACTGTCCTCCTGACTATAAACTATTGGGACCACGTTTTTAGTAACCATGTATATGGATGTAACGTCTCCGAATAAATATTTTTGATACGTTATTAAAACCTCCTTCAATAAACCCTAATTGATGTAAAATCAATTAGAATTAATAAAATAATATTGCTATATATATTTATTACTATTTAACAATTGTTATTTTTGCATTAAAATTGCAAAATCTTTAAAAAAAAGAATTTTAAAAAAAAGCAATAATATTTTTTTTACTCAAATAGAATCTTTTTACTGAAATGTTCTGCCTTAAATGCTTTTAACTCATAGTTTTAGAACATTTGACAGAAATGAAATTGAAAAGGTATGCACATTTGAGGTTGTAAATAATAGCAAGAAGAAAAAAAAGAAGTAAAAGTTGCGAAAATTTTTAGATTGCTATCAGAAAAGTTGGGATTAAAAACAGCAAAATATGTTTGATAGAGAGGTGAAACGAAATGTTCTTTTAATAATCTTCCTCTGAATTCTTTGTTTTGAAAGGCAATCAAAAGTTTTTCATATGTTAAATCCAAATTATTCAATAACGATTCCTCCTATTTCAATTTTTTTTTTGCTGCTTAGCTATTTATTTGCATTCCATAACACGGGCACTTTTTTTTTGCTCCATTTTAAACACGGATTCTTAAAATATGCATTAAGTGTCGTCATTGCGTAACATTGTTCCTTTGATCTATTGTTCCTTTTTGTGTGCGTTGTCACAAAATTAGTTTCATTTTTCATTTCCCTTTTTCTCTCTTTATTTTATTTTGTTATTTTTTTCTTTATTTTATTTTATTATTTTATTATTTAAATTTTTAAATCGGATTGCTTTTGATGCGAATCTTTCTTATTGCTCATAAATTTCAGCGAAGTAAAAAATTCAAGATATCCTAAAACAATGCAGAAAAGAAATTCATTTGCTCGTTTTTTATTGACAAAAAATGAAGTAAATAAACTTTACTGTTTTTAGTCTTATATGCATTTTCTTTCCGACCCAATTTCATAAAAATAGCAAAGAAATGTTTTTAATCGTTTTAAATATTTGCGACTTATACGTGACTTATCAGGGAAAAAAAAGCATAGATCCCCACCATTTTATCGTTATTATTTTAGATCATTATTATTTGTGTGATGAAAACTCGTAAAAGCAGTTAAAAGAAGGAACAAAGAACTATCAAAATACTTAAAAACATTTTATTTCCATAGAAAGTGAATAGTCATTGTTTAAATGGACCAAACTCTTAATATATCTTTCCTGAAACTGCAAAAGTGTTTCTTCAAATGCATCTATACATGACTAAAAGATGCTTGGATACGTGACACCAAAAATAATAATCAAACCGATAGTTCTTTATTTCTTTGACGCGCATCTATGAATTCGGATGCAAAACCGGAATGGTTTTACCGCGTGGAATTTTCAACACACCGACGTGACAAGCATCTGTGGAAAAATTACTGCGTCAGCGGGAACGCAGTTCTCAGGATTTCAAACATTTTATCTGGCATTAAAACAAACAAATACTTCTACTGCTACTTTCCCGATGTGCTTGTCTTGATTTGGCTGTCTGTATATTTTCATCTTTTTCATTTTAATGTTTATATTTTCCACTATTGCATAGTGTTACTTTTTGCTTAAATTCTATTAATACTTTCTCTTAGAAAGTGTAGATTTCATATCAACAGAATTCCAGGTAGATAATTTACTTTTCTTAAATTATGTTTTGTATCTTTTATATTTGTACATTAGCTTTCTTCCGGTTGATTACACTGCAATTTACAGCTCAATTAAAGTATCTTACATCCTGTTTATTTTTTCAATTAAATAATCTAACAATAAAAATAAGAATTGTGTGACTGACTAAATAAAAGGAACAAAATTGCGTGACATGTCACCGTTTTTTTTTTTATCACTGAGCAAAATATCTTTGCTATGCAACACCATCGTTGTATTCATTTTTAACTAAAATTTGTCTCTAGAGAAAAAGAAAAAACTTATTTGCTACGATAAGTTATTATATTATTAAGATAATATCATATTTTTCAAAATCTAATTTGTTTTATAGTTTAGAGGAGTAATTGCAACAAATATTAGTTTGTGTTTCAATATAATAGATCTATCCTTAAGATTTCGCTATACCGCAATAGGAACTTTTCGTGACTAAATCTGTTTCACCTTCTTAGTATTATAAAATATAAAGGAAAGGTTCAGATAAAATTAAAGAGTTTCCATTGTAAAAATTTTCAAGTAAACCTTTAAGTTCTTTCAGCATTTCAAACTTGAGGTAAAACATGAAGTTTCAAATGCAGAAAAAATCTTATCAAAATTCTAATAAATTATTGGAAGATAATTTCTCCACTACGTAATCTTGAGAAATCCTGCAATTTCCTGTTTCCTCTCTGATATTTTATAAATTTTTTCTTTTTTTTTTCTCAGCATTTAAAACTTACATGGTTTAGTCTAAGTTTACCTTAAGTCATGCTTTCCATGTTTTAAGTTACTTACATTGCTGAAAGAGAATTTGCTATGAAGGATTTCTCAAGTAGTATCAAAATTGCTATGATTCCCCCCCCCCCCAAAAAAAAAAACACCTGAAAAATCTGAAACAATAATAAAATACACTTATAGAAAAAAACCACTTTGGTTTTTCGTAATTTTATTTATTTTTTACAAATCAACTCAAGATGTTTTTATTACAGAATAAATTACAAACTTAATATGTTGAAAAATTTATAATTTCATTACCTCTATATTCTACTGTGCTTTAAAATTTCTAATTAATCTTTTAAATAACATGTACAATTAGAAATAACATACTATGGTATTCTCACAAAGATTTGTGATACTAATTCACAATATAATTAAAACCAGGGGTCTGTTTAGAAGAAAATTGGGTCCATTAACGGATTCTTCACAAAATATCTTTTCATGAAAACGGACCCTTCACAAAATATTTTAACGTAAAAACGGACCCTTCGCAAAATAATTTATCCTTTAATCGGACGCATCACAAGAGATACTCGAAAACTCGAAAGACATTTGCGTAATATTGTAAATGGGAAAAATTGACTGATGCTGAGTGTTCAGCTATCATAGATATTTTCAAATCGACTGGCAATCGATGTATATTGTTCTAATATTTTGTTAATCATGTTTTTCTGCTATAATTCTAAGGCTAAGTTTGATCTTGTTTCATTTACATTATGTACCTTAACCTCTTCGAAGTCAAAAAAAATTTATTAATTCCAAATGTAGTATTCTAAGAAAATATTTCTACTTCAGCAAACATCATGTGTACATTCTTATTGATATTAAATGATATTTTTTTGTAAGTAAATAATTGAGCAATATATTATTCATAAAATTAATTGATAAAATATTATGAAATAAATATTAACTCTTATAAATTTTTAAAAAAAACTATTATAAATTTAAGAATTGTTTAAGTTTGCTTAATGTGTAGCACATTAGAAGTGATACATAACTAAGTTGTGTTGATTTAAAATACGTCACTTAAAATTATTAAAAATGGGAGTGATTTTGTTTCCATTATTTGTCCAAAATGAATATTCTGTGTTGTGCAGTATGGGCTAAATACCAAATATTTGTATGTTGCATCTTTAATTTAGTAGCAGCAATAGCTGTTTATTTTTGAAAATTTAATTTTTTTTATTATAATTTTACAGTTGAGCATAATTTTGTATCCATTTGAAGAGGTTTT